CCTGAGCCTCTGGCCTGTACCCCAGTTCTGTATGCACAAATAAATAAATAAATCTTTAAAAAAAAAATTTTTGAAAGATTTGTAAAACCCAGATAACACCAACATTAATATAAATAGAAGCACCAATAGGGCTCCAATATTTATAGTGTTTCTTTGGAAATTTCTATTTTTATTAAAAAATATTAATTTCTGTTATCCACAAATATTGGAGGTAAAAATGAACATCCATATTATTAAAATGTATTTTAACTCTAAGGTCAAATCACTTCTATCTCAAATCATGTATGGGAAGGAGAGGGCAAGGGATCAAAACAAGGGTGGGAAGAGCACAAGGCACTATGGAGATGGTGACTGGTGAACTCGTGAAAACTAAGGGGGCTACACCTGAGAAAAGCAAATATTATAAAGAAAAATAAGTAAACAGTATTATTTTTTAAAAATTTAAAGAAAAAATAAATAAAACCATAACTAAAACAAAGGCAGGACAGAGAAACAAAGTGTTCTTCCTACAGAAGAGGAAAAATACACAGTAGAAAAAACACAGGCTGGGCTCTCCCTGGTGGCGCAAATGGTTAAAACACCACATTATGAAGCTCTCAGAAGCCACCGTAGCACAAATTCGGTCCCCCACCAGGGAGCTGGCCCACATGGCGAAGCAGACCTCTCATGACCCACCCGCTGCTCCCTTCAGCAGTGTAATTTGCCAATCTGCCTGTTCCCCACTGTCTCTGGTGACTCCTCTCACCCACCATACCTCTGGCCTGTACCCCAGTTCTATAAACATAAATAAAATCTCTAAAAAATAAAAATAAAAAATAAAGAAATAACACAGGCTTTTACAACCAGAGGTTTAAAACCCTGAGTTTTGAATTTTCTAGATTTGAGTCTTAGGTAATTCCAATCTAAAGAATAAACTACTTATACCTGAGAGAATTCTTTTAAAGTAAGGGCCGTTGCTAATTTATTAAATATTTACTAAACTGCTACATGCCTAATTACTAGGAAACTTATAAAATTTCCTGTAGAAGTTGAATGCTGATTTTATCTGGGCACCATTCTTAATACTTCCATTGGAGATTATATTTTATGAACCCTATTATTGACAACAGAACAAATTATTACACTATCCAGACCATCAACTCTATCCTATTTCTTTTAAAAAGCTAAAATATCATACTTGTATTCATAAATGCAAAGCCACTGTACTAAATAGAATACTGTGAAATGGATCAGCCTCATGCTTCATTTTAGTTTTAAACTAGTGTTTCATCAAAATTAAATGACCAATAAAGCTGTGCTTACAACCTAATAAAATCAATTTCACTAATAAGAGCTAAATGAGACACAGTATATATATTTTACTCTGGTTCCCTTATTCCATCTATTTCAAAGCCTATTTAAATAATAGTAAAAAGATAAACTTGTCAAATATTGTCCAATATTAAGAGGACATAAACCAAAATATGTTTTACTTCTTCCCCTTACCTTTTGTAACATTATTATATTTTACATTTTAATGAAATTTATTATCAAGTTTGACAACCCTTTTTATTTAGGGTTTGAAATTAATAAATCAAAATTTAAACTTTAGAGATGCTTTTAAATGCTTTATTTTAATCTCCACAACTTTATCAAAGCCCTATATATCAGTAAGTTGTTGTGAAATTAAAACGGGATTCAGAGGAACTCTAGCAACTAAACTTTCAATGTGTGATAGCTGCTTCTAAGAATATAAAAGCTTTGAAAAGAATCACAAGGAAATATAAAACTGCTTTCAGTAGTTAGTTGCAATATATCAGCATTCTAATTTTGTAAGACAAATATAGAGGCAAAAAAAACTGTAAGTAAAATGTAATAAATATTATGTTAATGTTAAAACCAAACTTTTTCTAAGTTACAGGTATATGTATAAAACTCAAAGAATTAAAACTGTTATTATGCCAAATTTGAATTGGAAATGTCAGTATGAATTCATGATTATTCTCTTTCTAAAATGTAATTTTTTCCAAGCTTTGTCCACTGAAAATTCCTAAAACAGCAATGAACACTAAAGTTTTTCAAATGGTAACAGCCAAATACCATTTCCTACTAAATGGTATTCAAGAAATAACTACTTATACTTCTGGGAGAGAATCCTAAATGAACCTGAGACAAGTAGTGTCAGAAAGCAAAGCTTGGGTTATGGTTAAAAAAAAAAAAAGGCGGGGGGGCCCTCCCTGGTGGCACAGCGGGTTAAAGCACACCACTAAGAAACTAAAGCCAGTTCAGTATGAGTTCAGTCCCCAGCCCTGGAGGTGATCCACATGGTGCAGCAGACCTCTCCGGACCCATCCGCTGCTCTGCTCCCCACCCTGTCTCTGATGAACCCTCTCACTGCCCTTGCACCTCTGGCCTGTACCCCAGTTCTGTATGCATAAATAAATAAATCTTAAAAAAAAAAATAAATTCAGGAGCCAACAAGGAGGGACTTAAAACTGACCAAAATTGGGATAAGCACCAAAATAATAACCTTAATAATGGATTAAGGTTAATTAACTATATAAAAGCCATGAATTCATAAGGATACAAAAATGTTATTAATTCCCTTTGGCAGTTGCTTGACACTAACACATTATACTTAAAACAGATTTTTATGAAAAGGGAAAAGAAACAAGCATTTATCTTTTCTCCCCAATATGAGCTATATATCAAATAACCAAATACTTGATATGGGAAGTTCTTCTGAGTTAGTAACTGTAGAGGATGAAGTAAATCAACGTTATAACCCCTAGTGAAATAGTGGATGTATGGCAATACCATCATTGGTGCTAAAATCAGTAGATGATACACTTTGTATCAGATGAATCTAAACCTTAACTAAAACAAGCTGCCAGACATCATGTAACTCCTGAAGCAATGTAATAAGTAAAGAGCACAAGACAAATGAACTCTACATTGTTGAGACCTCTACATCTAATTGTCAGAAGCAGGAAAATATTGGAGATATTTTGAATAATACTAAATCCAAAATTTGGAAAAGTTTATAAGATACTAATCTAATTTGTTCAACAAGAGATGGCATAAAAAATGGTGAGTTATGTTAACAAAAAAAAAAAAAAAACAAAAAAACCTCTAGTGCAGGGATTAAAGTCTCAGGACTATCCAGCTATCATCAGTCACTGCAACATGAGTTTCCCCAACCAGGGAGCTGACCCTGTAGACCTCTCCTGTGTTGCCCACTGCTCCACACGCCAGTGTATTTCAGCGGATTGTTCTGCTCCCCACTCTGTCTCTGGTGTATTCTTTCATCCTCTGCATCTCTTGCCTATACTCCAGTTTTTGTATATGTAAATAACTAAAATCAATCTTAAAAAAATAAAAGGTGGGTGGCTGTGGGGGTGAGGAAAGATGAGATGCTGCTATGAAGAGATTTAAGAGACAGACCAAAACTAAGTATCACATTTATGTTTTGTGTGTATATTGATACAAAGCAGCTACAAGGAATCATCATTAAATTTGATGTGATGTTAAGTATAAAAATATAGCCACAGTCATAAAACATTTAACTATTAGAACTATACAATGACACACATTGAGAGAGGAATGGACACAACATTCAGGAATTCGTTTCTCCTAAATGTCTTGGGGAAGAAAGACGATTAGAAGTTAGTTAGGTCCTGGGCCTGTAGCTTTCCCTCTAATATTAAACATTTACCAATAAAATACATCTTCAAAAACTAATACATACACAAGATAATCAAATACTTTACACTGATCTGATGAATAATCACTTACTGTATCTAACTCTTACTGCAGCTAACTATATGTAAGAAGCCTGACAAGTTTTCAGAGCTCTATCATGTTAAATAAAATTATATCCTGTATTACATCTTTAAAAATGATTATCTGACAGACAAGGAGTACATTTTACTTCTTCAGCACTCGCCCAAGACTAGCGTAATGTGCACCCAGTTTATGATACAATCAAATTGATCCGTACACACACTTTACTCACGAAGTTCAAGGAAAGTAACAGCCACATTTATGCACACAATAAAATAATACATTAAGTGACTGGGAGATAAGAAGCTTAAAATTCTAATCATGTTAGTTTTTGAAGGAAACACGGAGAAAAACAAGACATAGACTATGGCAGCAGTGTTAGAATATAAGTGCTTACCAAAATCATCTTCAACTCCATCATAAAGCTCACTAGATCAGGAGAATGTTGCATTCTCTAAATCAAGACATTTCCAATTAATTTTAGCTGTACAGTGACTTGCATACACTACAAGTAAAGTTCATGTAAATATGAAAAAATATTAGCTATTTATCTTAAAAATGTAAGAATTGAAGTACTGACCAAAATTACTACTACCACCAACTTTATTTTGAAAGAGCAATTAAAGCCCTGAAAATATTTTGCTGACTTATGGTGAACTGTGTAAGAATGTCATTTAAAACTTCACGTACTCCTTTTTTTCCTTCAATACTGTTCATTGCTACTTTAGAAGAATCAAGCAAACCACATTCTATTTTTAAAAGTGATACAGTAGTTGTAGGCCTAAAAAGAATATAAAGTATAGAAAGAGACAGATATATGTAATTTAAGAATCTAGTTAGAGTAACTAACATAATTGGCAATAATAACATCTATGTTACCTTTTCTCCTTAATTACTAACTATAATTGCTTTGTCCCTTCATGACTAAAACTCTATTAATTCAAAAGGAGTCAACCTTTCAATATAAAAAATATATAATAAAATGATAAAGTATATTCCAAAGTAGAATATATTCTAAAGTAGAATAAGTACTTAAAGAGTTATAAAATCAATTCTTAAAATAACTACAAAAGCTGCGAAAATTTTCAAGGTTAAAATTCCTTTGGATATAAGTCTACATTTCTCTGCTTGAAATAAACATACTGTATTTGTAACATACTGTAACATACTGAACTAAAACCAAGTAGCTATGAATATGCTCATACTTAGGACATGATTTACAATTTAACATAGCCAAGATGGGCACATAGCTGTAGAAAATCTTTGATTTTCTCTTCATTACACAAGAGTCTGTCACCTCCCCTTCCTTTTCTACAGAAGAGTAATAAGAAAGGTTTGTAACTCTATCCATAATCTAAATCTAGACAAATACTTGCATAAATAAAGTGTACTGAAATGCAGCCATCATCATTCATTAACTTCCTGTCATAGCGGCTGATATGCTATAATGGCAGAGTGGCATATTTAAGAAAGCAATCTTAAGGCTCACAAAGTCTATAAAATGGACTATCTGGCCCTTCACAGAAAAATATTACTGACACTCCACCAAACTCACATTTACTAAAATTAAAAAATACAGGAAAATAGTAAGTCACCTGAACTTCAAAATAAAGACTTAAACTAATACTGGGTTCTATATAACTAAATGGGAGATTAGTAAACTAGAACTTTTTCTAGAAACTCTCTTGGTGAACAAGCA